AAGAAAATCTTTCCGCAGTTGAACGACAGGCATATCGGTAATTCTCGAGATACAAGTTTCGAACAACTAATACGTGCCGAGACGCAAGGACGTGGAGTTGACGTCGTACTAAACTCATTGGCAGAGGAGAAGTTGCAAGCCGGTATTCGGTGCCTCGCGTTTGGTGGCCGTTTTCTTGAAATCGGCAAGTACGATTTGTCGAATGACAGTCGCGTAGGGATGTCAATGTTTTTGAAAAACACATCTTTCAATGGTATATTGTTGGATGGACTATTTGGAGAAGACAGCGTAGAAAAGAAGGAACTGATAAAATTCGTTTCGGAGGGAATCAAGAATGGCGCGGTACGTCCTCTCCAATCGACCGTGTTTTCAGAGCAACAGCTCGAGCAAGGATTCAGGTTCATGGCGACAGGCAAGCACATCGGCAAAGTGTTACTGAAGATCCGTGATGAGGAACCAAAGAAACGTATATTATCAACACCGAAGACAGTAGCCGCGATTCCGCGTACTTATATAAATCCGGAGAAATCGTATGTATTGGTTGGCGGTCTCGGTGGGTTCGGTCTAGAACTGGCTCATTGGATGGTCGTTCGTGGCGCTAAATTCATTATTTTCGTATCGCGCTCAGGCATACGCACCGGTTACCAGGCATTGTGCGTGCGTCGCTGGCGTGAAAACGGCGTAAAAATCGTCATCTTCACCGCGGATATCACAACGTTATCGGGTACCCAACGCTTAATTCAAGAAAGCAACCAATTGGCTCCAGTAGGCGGTATATTTAATCTGGCAGCCGTACTACGTGATGCTCTGATTGAAAATTTAGAAGAAGCCGATTTTAAAACATCCATTTTACCTAAAGTCGATGTTACAAGGAATTTAGATGTGGTATCAAGAAAGCTCTGCCCATCGTTAGATTACTTTGTGGTGTTCTCGTCCGTATCGAGCGGTCGCGGCAATATAGGTCAAACCAACTATGGTTTCGCAAATTCGACCATGGAGAGAATAATGGAAGAAAGGCAGGCTAATGGCTTACCCGGTCTCGCTATTCAATGGGGTGCTGTCGGAGACGTTGGCTTAATTATCGGTAATACATGAAATTTTCCGAAAAGATCTAAACTTTCTCTCAATCAAATAGCTGTTCTTGAATGAATTACTTTCAAACTTTTTCAACTTGCCTTTTCTTTAGTTTTGTCAACTCAATCTTATTTTATGCCTCTTATAAAAAATATTGTATAAGACAGTAATAATGATATAGAATAGATGATACACATTTGCACACTTGTTCTATAATTATGTACGACATATATATATATATATATATATATATATATCACAGTTTCTCTTATGATATTATTTCTTTTCAGAAACGATGGGAGGATATAATGATACCGAAGTGAATGGTACTCTACCACAACACATGTCGAGTTGTCTCGCGACAATGGATATATTCCTTCAACAACCGCACCCGGTGCTCGCATCCATGGTGTTAGCTGAAAAACTTAAAACAAATGATGACAACAAGGCTGACCTCGTCGCAACCATTGCTAATATCCTAGGCGTTAAAGATGTTAATAGGATTAATCCCAACAATAATTTAGCCGACTTGGGTATGGACTCGTTGATGGGCACGGAGATAAAACAGACCCTCGAGAGAAACTACGACATCGTGTTGTCAGCTCAAGAGATCCGTGTCTTAACTTTCGCCAAACTGCAAGAATTATCTTCGACGAGTGGTGAGATAGTGAAAGATCAGCAACCGTTTGCTGAGAAAGCGATCACTGTTACGGACTCAAACCTGTCACTCGATATGCTGATGCAATGGCCGAGCAACGAAGTGCTGCCTAAAGAAGCTCTCGTTCCCTTGAAAACAAAAAGTTCCAACGGGCCGATGTTATTCACTATTCATGGTATCGAAGGTCTTGTTAAACCATTAGAATATGTGGCCAGCGAACTCGACAGGCCGTGTTGGGGTTTGCAGAGTATTGAACAGGCGCCTCACGAAACAATCTCAGAGTTGGCTGCGTTCTATGTGAATACTATTAGAAAAGTTCAAAAAAAAGGACCATATCACTTGGCAGCATACTCGTACGGAACTTGCGTCGCCATTGAAATGACTCTACAATTGGAATCCGCTGGGGAAAATGTGATTCTGAATCTTATCGATGGTTCAGTGGCATTCGTACGACAGCAATGTGATATGATTGGTAAACTAGAGGAAATAAAAAGTACTACTTCTGATGGCTGTATGAAAGCGCTGGCATATTTCATCATACAATTCAACAAGAACGTCAGTTTTACTCAAGTAGGTATACATATAACAGTATTCTATCTGCCGTATGATATTTATCTTCGTTTACCTTAAATAAGGAATAGATACACACACGCACGTACGCACACACGCACGCACGCACGCAGAGAGAGAGAGAGAGAGAGAGAGAGAGAGAGAGAGAGAAAAGCACAAGCAGCGAGAAACATCTAAAGCATGTATCGAGTCTTGTTAAAGTTCAAACAAAAATGAGATTATAACTATAATTTTTTATAATTTATAATACTATTAATTTTTTTTCACTAACATTTGTTTGCAATACGTATAATACGTACATAATGAGTGAATGTTTATTTATAATCAACTAATGCCTTTTTTTAATCTCTTTGGAATTTGGCAATGAATTATGTCATAATTATTGAACGTCTACTAGTACATTTTTTAAATCTTAATTAGTCGTTAGCAAACTTACGATAATATAAAATTAGAATATTCAAGTTAATATATGTATGTATCTATTACCCAGATAGCAAAATGTTTGCAGTCTTCTAGCAGACTGTCAGCAGGTTCGAGCAAAAAATGACGGCAGTTTGCCATCAACTGCGTCCGCATTAGACTTGTGTTCTGTTAACATCGCCTGTCGATATAATGTAAAGGCAAATTGTTGGCAGAAACTGAGCAGACATTATCTAACGCTTGCAGATTCTGTTACGTTTTTTCTAGCAGTCTGTCAACAGTATTATGCATATCTAATTCTGTTGTTATTTTATTGGCATATTATATATATATATATATATTTGAGAAATATTATATAAAATATAGATATTAGTTTCACAATTTACAATGTTTTATTTCAGGCGTATGATATTTTGAAACAAAGTAATTCGGATGTGGAGATGTTTAATAAGATGATAGAAGCGATAGGTAATACGCCGTTTGTACAAGATGATCTGAAAGTAGCCGGATATCTTTTATTCAAAAAATTAGCGGCTGCTGTAATCTATAATACCAATAGAAAGATCAAAGGACCGGTCACACTAATTAAGGCTACAGAAAATTTCTTACATCTAGAAAAGGATTATGGTTTATCGAATGTAAGAGTCTCATCTTTTTTATATTAAAGTTCTTCAATATTTTCAATAATTAAATTCATTTTTATAGCATTGTAAAGTAACTTAAGCAAGTTTGAAGTTAAATTTTATTTTGATGTTTTAATGTAATTTTAATTAAATATATTTGAATATTGTATCATAATAATTACATCCAAAAATAAAAAATTAATGAAAAAAAATTTTTCAATCGAACATTAGTATATTTACACTATAATATAGTTACAGTATATTTACTATCTACTTATCACATATACACATACTTTATCAAAAATTAATAAATTCCATTTTAATCCCCCTCATTATTTGTATGGAATTAATATTTAAAAAGTTGAATATTTTATCTTTTTCTTCTTCTTTCCAGATTTGCGTACAACCCGTAAGAATAGAAGAGGTGTACGGTAATCACAGGACGATGCTGTTGGGAGAAAGTGCAAAGAGAATCGCAAGTCTCTTACGAGTGTAGCTTGCGGAAGAACATCCGTATTTTAAGTTTTATTATATTTGAAAATGATTACGTGGCCCACATGTCGCGTTGCCGATAGAACTTAATATTTTCCATAATACAGAGAAGTTGCAGAACCATTGTACATAAATGTCTTATTTTAAAATTGCAATCTATTGCAAATATGACACATTATATTGCTACAATGTAAAACAAACAATTCTGCGCTGTATGACATGATTAGTAATTTGCAAAAATCTTTCTCGAATACATCTCACTTCATTATTTTAACTGGTCTGAACTGTTGCAAGCAATTGAATCGTACAAAATGAAAAATAAACAAAAAGCAACAAAAATATAGCTTTTTAGAATAGTAAATTTGTATGTTACCATTTATTCACGAAATGCAAAAATTTTTGTAATTTTTAAGTTTAAGAATTAATTTTAGGGTTACGTATAAGAATGTTTGTTATAATTCCCAAAGTGGGCAAATTAAATGTTCTTTATTTACTTTATGTTAATAGCGGACACAACATTGCTATTTATTTATATGTATATTAATAATTATTCTATATGTTAAAAATTGATTTTCATTACTCTCTTCCTATTAATTAAAATAGGTATTTTAAACGGGTTGATCTCATTATTTTTAGCTTTTAATTAGAGCTTTTCATCATATAATACAATGATAAACTACTAAGCAACCATAAAATATATCGAAATGTTATACATATTGATATGGTCCTTAATTATTAATTAAAACCTTTATTGTTTTTATTAAATTCTTACTATATTAAAATATTCTCAATAGACATTATCTCAGCTATTATAAATTTTTCTCACAGTATGTAACACATTACACGTTTCATTCCATTAATAATTACAAATTCATCCCAACGAAAAAATGTATTTTTCACAAACTTCACTTTAAAATAATTTAACATGTACATTATCTCCCTTTTTTTCTTGCTTACGTATTATAACGTAATATATTATTAAGCAAAAATAATTGTGTGTGTACAAATAAATAATACAAATTTATATCCAATATATCAACATTCCAAATTCTCTAATTATTTAATCAAATATATTTTCAAAACATTCATACAAGTAATACTTTACTTAGTTTCCTTTATCATACTATTATAATACTGTTCAATTGTGCCATTTGCAAAAAAAATTATGAATAAAAATATCTTCGATATTCTTACGTTTTTATACGTACGATTTTCTTTATGTGAATATCAATAAATTTATGTATTCAATAACTAAAAAAATAATTAAATAAATTTTACTTTAATGCATCGGTAAAACTTAGATCGAATATCGCGGCGTTCTCATCGCATGTGAAAGACACGGTCAAAGCGTAACGAGTACCAGATTTCACTTTTTCAACTAGATGTAAATTTTCGCTTCCTGAAGTAAAAATTGATACTCTTCCTGAAAATATTGCTAAATTTTGTCTCATCTTTTTGAAAGATTTAATCTATAAATTGTAAACGCTTTACCTTTTCTGGGTTCTACTGTAGTATTGACATCATTCTTATCCATAAATATAAATCGGCCGCCTTCAAAATCTTTATTAAAATCATTTAAATATAGCAACGCTGTGTAATGAAACGATTCGTATGTTTCCTGAAATACATAGTTTTGTTATAATTCTATATTATATAGAAAACAAAACTTTCTAATTGTTATAGAGAGCAATATGTATAACGACATATGACAGACCTTATCGATATGTGGATGCCAGTATTCATCATGTATGGTTTTTGCGGGTTTATTAGTCATTCGCGAGAAGAAGGTAGGCTTGGTTAAGTAAATCTTATTTATATCTATGCCGAAATTATGCGCCACCGCATGTTGTATTTTTGTTTTCACTACTCTGTAAGTTAAGAAAGAATATAACATGTATTATACAATATTAAATTACTTATTCTTAATATGCAATCTCACAATCAGGTGAATATACAAAACAATATTTAATAATTTGCATATATGTAGGTATATACTTCAGAAGTTACAAATCTGAGAGATAGAAATGTATTTGTTTATCTATCATTTATCATAAGGGAATTTAAATAAACAATTTATAGTATTAACGTATTATAGGCGTTGTCCAATTTGATACACCAAAAAATGTTTTGCTCTAGATTCGCTCCGCAAAAGAAAAAATATTTATACATAAACAAAAATCATACTTATAAATTGCTGAATCTATACTGTTGAATATTTTCTTTGCTTCTGGTAGTTTATAGATATTGATAAAACCTTGGCTCTTACTAAGAGCGCCTGAATGAAGATCCAGAATACTCGCGCCACCATCAGATCCAGCCAAATCTATTCCACTTTTTGCTAGTTTCAGTAAAACATCTGCCTCTGTTGTCGAGACGAGTTTGTCAGTAACAACTCTGCCGCATTTTTCCGGTACACAGCCAGAGTATTTTTCTAACTCGTCTCTATAATCCATAGAGCAGTCAACGTTCTGTGTACGACTTACCAACACATCTTTCTGCTTTGCTAGATATACTTCTTTACCCTGTCTGTTATTATACCAAACTATTAGCAAGACTCCAAGTATTAGAACACATCTAGACCATACTCTTTGATATGGAAAAGATATAATAGGTCCATATTTCCTACAAGATAAAAAGTGGACTGTTAGTTGATACATGGATATTATTTCATTCTTATAAATTAGATGAGTTTTCAATGGTAGCAAAGAGAAAAAGCAGAGTATTTATGTTCTTTTATAATACAATAGTAATATTATAATAGTAATATTAAAATTTGAAAGCTATACGCTTATAATATAAATATTAATGACAGTACAAGATATTTTTTTTTAATTTTATACTCACAATTCAACGGGTTTGCTTGGTTTTTCCGCCTTGTTTTCCTCCTGCGTTATACCTTCTTTCTGCGCGCTTTTTTTCTTACTTCTCTTCACTTCTTGCGTCGTCATCGTGTATATTGGTATATATTATCACTATTGTTTATCTTTTAATTTTATGTTTAATCCAACTTTTCACAGTTCAAACACATGTCAACTAATGTCAACTAGAAAAATGCCAAACTCGTGGTCACTTACATGTCAATAGTGAATCCAATGTTACGATTTCCTTACTGCTTACGTTTTTGTATGTGCCATGGACTTGGAATAAAAACGCACAAATGAAATAGCGGCCTTAAGTCTAATCTACATTGGTCGCAAGCGTTGTAAGCGTCGTGCGACTTTAAAATTGACGCATCGGATTGGTTGATGCCTACGATACGACCAATGTAGATTAGGCTTTAGACTAAAAATACTAGAGACCTAGAGACTTTTGGAGAATCTTAAAAGTGGGGAAAAATTTTCGATGTGACTCTTGGTAATCCTGCCCTTCGCCTTCAGAGTTCAGACTTCAGAGTACTTCAGACTTTCAGACTCGGACACACATGTGATTGCACGTAATGTAATACAACGCATATTCCGAAATCCGAATGCTGCGTTATTATTCTCTTCGTATCGTCACTCGTCTTTGTGAATTATCGTGAATTGTTATGCAGACGATGTAATTCACATCATGCTGTTATGTTTTCGTTATCATTGTCAATAATAAACATGCTATCCTTTTTCCGAAAGTTATCAATTGGTGGAAAGATAAAGGATGGTATACTGCCAGAGACAGTCATGGGAACGGCAGAGGATCTATTGACGGCGAAGAATCAAACGTTAAAGACGGATATCGAGTTAAAAGAATCCGTTTACGGCAAGTTTTGCGCTCTATTTGTGTCTTGTAACGCGCGACCTTTTGGATATTGTCCGATATCATTGATATGGTGCGACATTGCAAGTGACTTGTCCCTTATACGCTTATTGAAACACTGACATTTTTTAAGCAAATTCTATCAATTTATATTTATTTAGCAATTCTTATTGCTCTTCAGATTTATTAAGGACAATCAAGGATCCTGAAAAACCACAAACTTTGGAGCAACTGGATGTTGTCTATGAAGATTGCATCAAAGTTTGCCACAGCACCCCAGGAGGAGTTTCTGTCATTCGTGTGGAATTTAATCCTACAGTGCCTCACTGTTCTTTGGCAACTCTAATAGGATTGTGCATCCGCGTTAAATTAGAACGTCAATTATCAGCTTCATTTAAATTAGACATCTATATTAAAAAAGGTGCACATTCTACTGAACAAGAAAGTACGTATGCTCCTTAAATCTCAGTTTCAGTTTTCAGTGTATAGTTTGTTTCTGATTATATGCGTTAAATTGCAGTTAATAAACAAGTTAATGATAAGGAACGTATAGCGGCTGCAATGGAAAATCCAAACTTACGGGAACTGGTGGAGAAATGTATACTAGAAGAGGATTATTAGTGTTTTGCGATAAAGCATATGCTACATCAGATATTTTTCCAAAATACAATTTTAATCTAATTTATGATAATCATGTAAATAAATAACGTACTTTGTTTATATTGACGTATAATTAAGTCCAACTCATCTCGCGCATAAACGCGTAATAAAATTATTTTAATAGAGATATTACAATTATTATAAATCAAATTTTTGTAACTTGATAATTATAATCTTGTATTTTAGAGATGCATAAGTGTATACCTATCTAATCGTATAGACACCCCTCTCGAAATATTTAATTATACATTTTATATAACGTAGACGCGTAATAATAAATTTTGTCGACAAATATATATATATATTAACAGCGATTAAATCAATAGAACGATAAAATTCATTTATTTCATTGTGGTGATATTTTTTTCAATTTTTCTTTTACAAAAATAAATATCTTTGGCTACGTTCAGCAGAAAGTTTTGCAATTGTTGTAAGTTTTTTCGCGCTAATTGAATTATACTTTTAGATCTAAAAGTATAATCTAATCAGTGTAGAGAGAAAATTTCTAACAGTTGTAATACATAAACGTTCTGCTAAACGCGGCATTTGTTTTTATTTTCTTTATCGAATTATATACAATAGCTAATGACTGATACAAATAAAGAATTAAAAAATGTAAAATAATATTTCTTAATGTATTTAAGATGTATTTTATTTTACAAGTATATAACCTCTTCGAGAAAGAAGATACAATTTTAATTTATATAAGATGGTTTTTTTAAACACGCTGAGTACTTTCAAATTCTACTCCCGATTTCAAATTACAGGAGAATGCTCGATCGAGTGTATACACTATGCGTAACACTGTACGTACATGCATGTACATATGCATATATACATACAATGCACGGAACAGTGAAATAATTACGAATTGAGCAAACCACATGCGCGACATTCGCGGAACATTACGTGATTTATATAGCGCGTTGCGCGCAATGTACGATAGTAATCAAAACTGCCGTACGGGCGTCAGTGTTTCTACACATTTCTACCGTTTCTGTGATGACTATACCGGATCACATTCGCATCGCGTGGCGTCAGTCGTCAGCACTCAGCAGTCGTCAGTCGAGTGTCGAGTCGAGTCTCGAGCAGCCTCGAGCCTCGAGCTGCGGGCAACGTATATTCGAATATCTTTAAAAATAAGTGATCTACTTGGAGAGTGAACCAGTTTTAATTTGCAAGATACACGTTAAAAAATTTCTTCCGTAAGAATCTATTAATTATTACTGTTAAAAATATATGAAGTTTGTAATTAAATTTAAAACTTAAGTTTGTATTTATAGTTACACATTTTCGAATTATTTTTCTTTTTTATCTTCTAAATTAATTGCAAAATTAAAAGCAAATTTTTTAATTGTACACTTTTATAAATCTGCGTCTTAATAACATTGTACAGAATAGGGAATGTCACTGTTTAAAAATGTAATTTATACATATATATATATATATACACACGTATACATACGTATATATATATGTACAAACATGGTATATAATTAAATTTCTAAAATCTAAATTTAAAAGATTATAACTAAATTTTTCTTTAAAATAAAATATAAATGCATACATATATATGTAAACTTTTTTTAGCCAAGTCAAAAGTACAACGTTATAAATCATCGTGTAATGAAGATGGGCTACAGTTTGTCTTTCTCAATTCTTATCGTCCTATTATTCAAGTTTTTTACGCATGGTTTACCAATAGAAGAGGAACTTTATGGTATAGAATATGTAAATATTTTAAATATATTAAGTAACTAGGAATGTTAATAAGAGTATTTTAAACATTTCTATTTAAAACATTATTTTTCTTTTTCACACTTCTCCAAGAAATTGCATCTAAGATTTTTTTGTACGCGTGATTAACTATATAATGTAAAAATTTCTTGTATCATTATACTATTATCTATCGTTATAGTTACAAGTAAAATGTGATAAAAACAACTCATGCGAGGGTTAATATATCAATTTGATAATTGCGTTTTTAATGCATTACAGAAAGTCCTATGAATAATTCAATTAAATTGACGCGATCTTTGCAAAATATATTGATCTGCTTACGAAGCTATGACTAGATAAACGTCACAGAATGGAGTTCGAGGTGAATCGTTATCGCATTTATACACTCTTATTTATTATCTATTATTATTAACTCATTCTCTATTATGGAAATAATGTGATTCATTCCCAGCATTATAACATGTACTTACTTTCCGATAATATTAATATGCGCAATATTGAAATGATAAATTGAATGTATTTACGTTCAATATCTCTCTATTAACAGTTTTTCTTTGCTTTCTAAGATTTATATGTTAGAGATATTATCTATAACTTGATTTTAATTTTGTGATAACTGTGTTTCTATCAGTTATATTCTTCCGAGAAAATAGAGAATAAACTTCTAAATCAACATTACATATTTTTATAATTAAATCTTACATTAAAGTTCAAATTGATATATCAATAAAAAAATATAATTTTAATATTTGTTCGGTTTCCTAAAACTCAATTTACGAAACAATCTTCTTTATTCACAATCGTTGGGAAATTATTGATTGGATATTGAATTTTTATAATTATATTTTTTCCCCGCTGTTTTTCCCCGCGACTACCAAATATTGTAAGACTTTTACCACTACCAGTACCGCAAAGCGACGCAATATACATACGTGATTAATTTAAACGAAAGATCGGCAAAAGTCGTCGCGTATCCGTAATTTTCCACGTTATTGATGGTCTATTGCTTCTTTACGTAAGCATAAGAAAAACGTTTTCATTAAATAAGTATGATGAAATTTGTTTGCAATCTAGAAAAATAAAAATATTTCTTATTAAAGATAAAACTTATATATTTCATGTATCATAGAAAAAAACGATTTATTTTTGTGTATGCTTTAAAGCCTTTCAATATACACAACCGCAACAAAAGTTTCAACGCGTCTTATGTTATTGCTCTAACAATTTCATTTTTCATGTACAAAATATAAAATTATAATATAATCGGTCATGAAAGTATTCAAGAGTGGCGAATTGCCGAAAAATAATCATAAACGGAAATTGTAGGTTTTCTCTAGATAGATGAATATCATGTATATAGCGATCAAAAAAAAATATCAATTTCAAATTTGGCGCTAGACACTGACAAAACATTTGAATATCGTGATGATTTACAATGAGGAAATAGAAATAATACACGTAGTCTCATAGAAATTAAGTGCTAGATTAAACATAAATCTTTAATTAAGATATTTGAAAAGTTTATCGATCACAGAATATCAAGTGTCTGCCTTCTATTATTAAAAGAAAATTAAGCTTGAATTAAAATCTGAAAATAAATAAGTTCTCTTTTTCTAATTTTAGTTAAAGTATGTAATAAATTTAAATGGAGAGTGTGCTGAAACTTTTAAGCAGTAGTATATAATTTTATAATTTTCCTGGAATATATAAAATTTAAATCTGAATTTCGGATTAACTTGTTTAAGTTAAATAAAAGTTTAAGTTAAAAGTGACAAAAGAGAAATATTTCTATATAATGAGAGAGAGAGAGAGAGAGAGAGAGAGAGGTGTAACATTTTCTTTTAGCCTTCTAGTTGTTGAAGGTAATGATTGTATGCATATTGTGTTGTGCAAATAAATACTATCATTAAAAAAATAGTGTGTAAGTGTAATCTCATGAGAAAAAAATGATTGTCGGTCTCATGAGTAAAAATGCAGGCGTGCATAAGATTAGTTTTAATGACCGAGCTGATCTTTTCCTTTATGGACTTCCCCTACGATTCTTTACGAAATAATACAACAAAATATAATTTGAAATTGAAATAATCTCGTTTTATTTGATACAGAAGGCAGTTATTGCAGAACAGAAAATGGCGAAGAGGGAGTGTGCAGAAAGATATACGAATGTCCATCCAGATTGCAAGAGGTGAAGGAGGGTAGAAGAAACTCGGATTCGAAAGGTCGTTGCGGTTTCCAGGATTTCATCGAAATCGTTTGTTGTCAGTTCAATATTACGGATAAGATAGGACTTCGACCAGCAGAGATAGGTATGATATAATTTTGATTAACGAAATGTTGTTATTTGTTTCTTTAAAATAGCTGCGTTTCATATTAATCCAAAAATTGAAGAATGCGATAATTTTTTAGATGCAGTGAACTTTGCTGATTGAAAAAAATTACGCGTTATAATTATTCTTTTTAAATTTCATTAAAATTAATTCGTTTCTTATTTTTTCGTAACGTGTCGCGCTCAATTTCTGTCACAATTTCTACATTTAGGATACGTTCCCGCAAAGTAAAATCTATTATCCGGATTTACAAATTATAATGCTATTCAATCGTGAGAAATTTTTTTAGTTCGAGAAAATTAAGCAAAGAGATGAATGATGAGAAAATCGACGAATTACATTTCGCATCTACGAAAGATACGCTGTTGATTAAACATTCTTTTTTCAGAAACAGGTTTTTTAGGCAGCTATAATTTTTTGACAACGGAGTCTCTTATTTTCTTCCTGCCCATTCCTCTCACAAAATGTAACATATCTATGCTTAATATTTGATGTATTTCGTAACTTATACCTACGTATAGCAATAACGTATTATAATATTTTAAAATACGTATTCCCAAAACGTTTGCATCCATTCAAACGTCAGCACGACGAAATTATTTTGAGATTTATCGTCTTTATCATTGTTTTAATTACGTCGTTAACATGCGCGCGTGTGCAAATTGCATCGTTTCCGAGAATCTCGGAAACATTTAAATAACAAACGACCTTGAGATGAAGACGCGCACGGTGACGTAATAATCTTGACTTTACAGTGATGACGATTACGACGGATTCATAGATCCGGACTAGTCGGTTAACTTTGCGCGTTAACCAGTCGATCGATTATGTTCTTTAGAATGCAAAAGGTGCAGATCTTTAACGCGCGTTGTCGCATCTGGATTTTTAGCATGTCGTGAATATGAGAATGAGATCGAGACCAACACTAAGGAGAAGAGAGACACGGCTGAGGTGCAGTTCAACATATACGGCGGTACTCAAACCGAGCAAGGGGAATTCCCGTACATGGTCGCCTTGGGATACGAGAACGAAGACAAGGACGATAACAATTCGGAAGCTATCCAGTACAACTGTGGTGGCACGTTAATTTCCTCGCAATACGTACTGACCGCTGCTCACTGCGTCAGTAATATACAGGAGAAAGTACCGGTAGA